CATCGGTCTGCTTGGTATAGTAGTAGACAGTAGTACCTGGTCTGCTTGATTTTTAATAGCTCTTTATATAATTTTTAATAGATCATTTTGGAATGGGATATGCATATCCTATTCTGGATCAAATACACTTTCGTCCTCGCTTCGTGTAAAAGGGTTAACCCGGAAGTGATATGTTTGAAAGGAAGAGCACTTATAAGTTGATTTTACCCTTACTAAACTAATAAGGTGGTACTAAACATATGCACACACCTTCATGAGCTATACTGACCTTATCCTAAGGGCAAGTGTTATGGTAGATGTGACTACCACATCTAAATTTATCCACATCATTTACTCATAAATTAAGAGGCAATCTATACACTATGTCACCTCTAGTACACAAATACCAATGTCTCTTATACTCTCACACCCCTCTTAAAATTTGTGTGGAGGTTGCCTCTTCATTTAGGGGTGGTTTACCATTTCTCTCCTCACTTATCTCCTCTACCTCATCACTCAATCCAATATGGCACATTTAGGGGCAGCATATGAAACATTATAATACTTGCCCTAATTGGCCAGGCTATCACACTGGACCGCACCAGAAACTTCATCAAAAAGGTAGAGAGGAACAAGCGCTAGAAGAGCTACCCCTACTGCCATATTATTTGATCTCTCTCTAGGCGTGGAACCCTGCCCTTTTTTTCCCCATTTAAACGATGATTTTTTGTGCGTCCAAAGGTTGGGGAACGCTGATTTTTTGCACGATTTTTGCATGGTACCGTATCAATGTAGAAGCGTTGATTTTTTTTTCTCACGGGATTTTCCATCGGAAGTGCGCGCGATTTTCGTTCGCTATGAATTGAACGAAAGTTAAAATATATAGTGCCCACACTTAACAAATTTGAGAATTTGCATGCCTGAATGCCCAATGTGATTAGGTTTCAGATGATTACTTCTAATCAAATGTTAATCGGAACATAATCTTGACACACCATTGCAATATTGCATCGCTCCTTAAAACAGATTTCTTTTCATGAATGCACAAAAATACTATGCGTCAGTATATTAGAAGAAAATAGAGTTTTAGTTTCACAACGCAATAAATCAGATAGACCCTTGCCGCATGCAAGGTAAAGGACCGCGAAGGGAGGAAAAACAAGCTGAAAATGCTGCTCCTATAAAGAGGGAGAGAGGTGGTGGAGTAACTGCTGCCCTATGTTCCCAACAGGTCCCCAAATGAAGCGGCACTAGCAAGAGACCAAAGACGATTCTTCTAAAGGATGGACTCCAGAACCACCGAGACCGGCGAAAGGGACGAATCAAAAACACTGGCTTTCCGCTCCTTCCACAGCTGCCAGGATACCAGGAGGACCAGAGTGTCAAAGCCCTTGCGAAGACACTTTGGTAGACAGGCCCTAGAAGACGGCCACCAGACCTAAAGAGAGCAGCCATGGGAAGGGGCGAGCCAACGCCAACCAGAAGACAGGACGAGGCGCCAGACTTGACGTATGAACACACAGTGTAGGAGGATATGGTTCGTCGTTTCAAGCTCCTGGGCGCAAAAAGGATGAACCGAGTGACTATCGATCACGCCCTTTTGCAGGAGATCGGCAAGCAGCAAGATAAAACAGAAAACATAATTAGATGAACGATAGCCGATCGGCCGATAGAGCCGATGACGTATCGTCAGGACCCAGCCGATGCAGTTAAACCAAATCGGTTGTGGCTTTTAGATGAATAGATAAAGTGCAAACCCTAAATATGCCCTAACGGTTGTAATACCATCTCTTTGGTTTTTGTCAATCATTTTAAGACAGTATTATAAAAAATAGTCAATAGACCAGTACTTAGAGCAAAAACAAATAATGTATTGACTAATACTCTAATACAGACTTATATAAAGAAATCAATCTATATAAACGTACCAAATAACAATCGATCACCAGATATAAAGTTTAAGAGAGATCAATCTAACTTGATGCATTTATATAAATCAATCTATCTATATAAGTGGCAAATATTCATAAACAGATCATGAAACATGCATTGTCATGTATATTAGGTAAGATCGGCTGAAACTCCGATACTATCCTTAATTATGATTAACTCCGGATTAGTTTCTATGATTCTAAGCACGGCTAGGGATGATGCATCACAAAATACGCAGAGAAACATAAAGTCAAAACAATCAAGGAGTTAACAACTTTTCGGGATGGTAGAACCTTAGCTAATCTAATCTAGTAAGACGATTTAAGCCAATACCGACAAAAACCCTAAAACGAGAATCAACTGATATGACTAAATTGAGATACTAAGACTATATTAACTAAGATATGTGATAAAAATGACCACAATAAAATGATTGATACATTAAAATGATATAATAGCCCCGATAGCGCAAGCCTTCAAGACAAGTTACCACTTGTCGAGAGATCGCAGCCGATACCCCGACTTGAAGCAAGAACTCGTTGGAAAGTAAAAGAAAAGAGTTATCTCAATTGAGGCCCAAACCAAGATAAATATCCTAATTAATAGATACAATTGCCTTAGATGAGATCTATCTCTAAACGGCAATGATAGTTATCTCAATTGAGGCCCAAACCGAGCCCAAGTTAGGCTGTATCGGCTTCCCACCAGATCGGCTCAACCAGATTCCGACTCTGTTTCAAGTCGATGCGTAGTCTGTTTTGGCAAAAATCAATCTCCTTTGATTCCGTTTCGATATCCAACTCCAAATCCGAGTCTATCTTGCCAAATTTCACTGTTAACACATGCTCCCCCAATTCCGATGTGTTATATAACACAGTGGAATTATCTCTTTCAGTCCGCAACTTGCTAGTGTTATCCTTTCGACTATTAAGCACATGTTTACAAATAACAACCACCACCCTAAAAAATTTCACACCGTTACTTCCATTTTCACCGCTCAAGCCACGCAATCTTCTTCAAGAAGCTCCGACGATTTCTCCAGTGTTCCATTGATCTACTACGAATTACTTTGTACCGTTCAATTGTTTTCTCCTTTTTTTTAATGACAGGTCATTGTGGAGGTTCAAAAGGAATAGGATACAAGAAACTTTGGTAAGTTTGCGGTTTCATGTGCAAGGCAAGAAATTGTGCAAGTTTGTGGCTTTAATGTGGTATGAATGTGTTGTGCAAATATGTGGCATTTGAACTGCATATGTGAATGATGTAAATTTTAAGATGCATATGTGCTAAAATGGGGAATATGTGATATTTGGGGTGCCTGGCATATATTTGTGATGTTTCTGTTTTTCAGAGGGCGTGGCTAGTAAATCCTGAGGCTAGCTAATATTCTGAATTTGTTTTTTTTTTCGAATTTCACCTCATCACTGATGGGTCATAACAAAATCCATCACAGGTGACCTCATCTGTGACAGCTTTGATACTATACCCCGTCAAAGATGATATACCTATGACAGGCCGAATATAATGCACCCGTCACAGCCTCAAAGATAAGTCACCTGTGGGGTTGCAACCACGGACTGCGGTGTGGTCATCATCACCTGTGACGGGCTCGGAAATACATGCCCATCAGAGGTGACTGATACCTCTAACGGGCATGAAATACATGCCCATCAGAGGTGATTGATACCTCTAACGGGCACCATCAAAGGTGACTGAGACTCAACAGTGACCATTAGTCTCTGACTAGGCCCAAACCGGCCCTTCAAAGGTGATGGTTAGGACCCATCACAGGTGACCTAATCCGGTGTAGTGAGGCTTACCCTCGTTTCTGTACTATGTTCTATCCGGCCGGAAAGCTAATCCCATGACTAATTTGGCTCCAAATTAGTTACGCCGTGCATTCATGCAGCTCGTGTTGTATCAGTCGTTGAGCCATTCCGGCGGCTCTCTTTATTTACTTGCGGTGCTGATCGCTGAAGCAACACAGACCGGCCCATCAGCGAACCACGCGATGTTTTGTAGCCAGAGTTTTTAGATAAAAGGTATGGCAAAGTATAACATTGCAATGCTTTTTTTTTTCATTTTTCTGTTCTGGTCCTTCCCTTCTCTGTTACTATAAAAGAAGCCAAATGTGATGGAGCGCCAGATGCAACAAGAGAAACAAGAAGCAGTCAACTGAAGATCCCATTTTTATCATCAATCCACTTTTGGAAGCTGAGAATTCCGTTAAAAATTAAAATCCTCTAGTGGTATTTAACAAAGGATAACCTAGCAAAACGGAGATGGAATGGCGACGATGTTGGGTGCTCTTTTGTAATCAAGATGAAACGATACAACATCTTTTCATTGATTGCCATATATGTGGTTAGATGTGTTTCAAATGTGTCATTTTCATTACCTTTCTGGTTCAAACCGCCTCATAAGGTTGCTAACTTGTTTGGAGTTTAGTTCAAAGGTTTGGATTAATCTAGGCTAAAATACTAAATCTCTTTATTTGGATTGCAGCTATATGTTGGGCGATGTGGATCTCTAGAAATGGCATTGTCTCAATGGCATAAAAATCAACTTCGTTAATTAAATGTCATTTTCAGGAAAATATATTGAATGAGACAGTAGTCTGTTTTATTAAAAGAGGGAGAAAGCATCTTGATGAAAGAAGGTTGCAAACTGTTGGAGACTACCGTTGTGCACTTCTTTGCTAAGGGTTGGAACATGAGGAAAATAATTGAGGGGTATAGTTTGCTGGCTTTTCTTGTTTGCAGCCGTGTATGTCCTTTGGTCGATGCACTTCGTTGTTGTTTTGTTTCGGGTTAGAGCCTTAGTGTTCCCTTTCAGTTGTGATCTTGGGTAAAGTTCAAACTTGTACTGAAGGACCTCCTGTGTTTGTGTACAGCCTTGTTGGTGTAGAGGCCGGATTTGAGAAGAAAATAAAGTTAGTACATATAGATAAAAAAAAACAATTTGAGAAGAAAATAAACGTGAACGTGGGCTGTGAGGCCCATCTCCCTGAATTTGGCTTCGACCAGAAAAGAGAGAGGAGGCCTACAAAACCCGACATAAAAGTGTAAAAAGTATACATAAGGTCCCTCATCTTGTTTCCAAATTACAAAATTATCCAGAACCGAAAAAATATGTGTCATCCCTCAACTTACAAAACTGAGGCACTTTGTGGCAAAACCAGATATGTGTCATCCCTCTCCGCCTAAAAAGGAGACGACCACCTTAGGACTTGTTCGGTTACATGATGATTCAATCCTGGCTAGGAGTGACAAGAATAGTAAGAAATTTATTATAGATACAACGAGAGATCGGGATTTATTCCGGACCGCATGATATGGACAATAATAGACCGAGAATCAATCCACTAGTTAAGAGTTGTGGAACTAATCCGGATGTTTTATTATACCAGTAAATTGGTTACCGATCCGGAATAAATCCTCCGGCATGAGGAGGAGGCGGCGGCGCCGCACGCAGCACGCCAACAGCAAGACGAACAACAGCACGGCGTAGGGCGGAGCAATATCCTCCGCCACACGCCGACGCCGGGCGGCCATTTCCCAGCTCACCCTCGCCGCCATGTTTTGCAGGCTTAGCTTTTGTTTCTTCTACCTCAAAACCGGGACACGTTCTTCTTCAAGGAGCTTCCAAGTTCCAACAATGGGACCTGACGCTTCACGACACACGACCACCGAGAACTCTCGGAACTGAAAAAGAGCACAACCAAGATGAACTTAACTCTTAACGACCTCAAGAAGACCAGCACCGAACCTGGCAATGAAGTTGAAGGGCAGCACCGAGACACCAAGATGACCGGAAAAGAGCAGAGAACCACCAAGACGAACTTGAACTTCCACTAAGACACACTTGACGGCCTGAAGAAGAGAAACACGTACCACAAAGATGAACTTGACGACCTGAAGAAAACCAGCACCGAACTATCTCTATCTGAGCAAGTTGGAGAGCAGCACGAGACACCGACACGAATTTGACGACATGAAGAGAGCGCAGGGAACCACCTGACGATGAAGAAGAGAAGCACCGCGCGCCAAGGCGAACTTGACGACCTGAAGAAGGCCAGCACCAAAACGGACTCTTTCAAGCACCACCGACGGGAGCTGAGGAAGAACGGAATGGAGGACGGCGGCGAATGGAACAGAGCGGACGATGAAAAGAAAAGCCTCAAAATGTAAATAAAAAAAATTGATGCATCCCAGCGGCAGCACGCCACCTCTGCAGCACCGCTCTCGATGGACGACGCGTGTATTACGTACGGATCCGACGGGGTGCTCCGCTCGGGTGTGGCAAATTGGCGCGGCAACGCGTGCGCCAGCTGGCCCCCTCCCCCCAAGTGATTTTTTTCCTTTTCTTTCTTTTCACGATTTTTTTTTCTTTTCTTTCCTTTCACGATTTTTTTAATCTTCAACACATGGTTTTCAAATGTTTTGTGTTGAAAATTTTTAAATCTTGACTTGAAAATTTTCAAATCTCGAGTTAAAAGTTTTCAATTCTCGGATTGAAAGTTTTCAAATATCAAGTTGAAACTTTTCAAATATGAGTTGAAAATTTTCAAAATTTATCTTTCATATTTAAATTTCAAGTTAATAAATTTTAAAGTTTAAGCTGAAAGTTTTCAAATCATGAGTTGAATATTTTAAATCTTAGTTGAAAGTTTTCAAATCTTGATCAAAAGTTTTAAATTTTCAGTTAAGAGTTTCAAATTTCTAATTGAAAGTTTTCAATTTTGTGTTAGAAGTTTTTAAATTTTGAGTCAAAAATTTTCAAAATAAAATGAGGTTGAAACTTACCTAGCTATCTTGCGAAAAAAAGAGAAAAAATCGCGTGAGAAAAAGGAAAAATCACATGAGAAAAAAAATTGCACGCAAAAACGAAGGACGGAGAGGGAGATAAGCACGTGTGAAAAAAAATCACGCGAAAGAAAGGAAAAAAAGAAATGTGCTACTGCAGTGTAGAGCTGTAGGCTAGAGTGGGGCCTAGTGGATCCAAATCACGTGCGAGTTAGTTTGCTCGTGCGTCTGTGTGAGATAGGATTCCTCGCTCCGCTTGACTTGACGCAGTTGCGAATATAATGGCCAAAAGGTCCAGGGCCCGACATCCCGTCCCATGGCACGACCTTTTGGTCCGGCCAGGCACGACATGGCCTAATTGGTGTCAAGCCTATGCCGGCCCGGCCTGACAGTTGGGCTGAGCCTGGGGGCGCTACCTTGGCACAGTGGGCTGGCTTCGCATGGCACGACACACGAGGGAGGCGAATAGACTTATTCAGATGTGTATAAGGCAGTCCAAAGAGGAGGGAGGCAATCTAGACTTATTCAAGCCATATATAGGGCACAACCCAAAGAGGAGGAATGCAAAATAAACCTATTCTAAGGACGAGCACAGTGTGTTGGTCGTGCCTACGTGCCGGCCCAGCATGGTCCGATTCTTATAGGACTGTGCCTAGGCCGTAGGTTGTGCCCGTGGGCGGGCACAACCTGACCCGGTCATTAAGCGGGTTGTGCTTGCCCAACTTATATCGGGCCTAGGCCTGGTCGTGCACGGGCCGGGTGGCTCATTTGGTCATCTGTAGTTGCGAATCAGCATCGCTCCTCTCGATCGGCTCCCTCTGACTTGCTTGTTCCATTCGAACCCATCCCGGCTTGCACACATCGACCTCTCCCCACCTCCTCTCGAACGATCCAGATGGCCAGGCGAACCCCGACGCCAAGGGCGGATCTACTATGGGCACGGAGGGGCTCAAGCCCCCACAAGCATCGTTAGAACTATGTAAGCCCTCACTGAGTTTCTTATAAAATGAGGGTTAAAATTATGTCTAGTTTGTTCAGCCCCACGTGTTACTTCTTCTATCCTCCATTGTCAGTGCTTACAACTGCTCCTTTTGCATCATGGGCATCTTCCCGTCCCCGGTCGTGTGGGCAGCATTACAGCAACACGAGTTTGTCCTGGAACTGGTACTCGCCCAACATAGTCGCCGGTGATGTACGAGTACTACACTATACCGCCTGCTGACGCTGGTCGTCGTGGTGTTATTCTTGGTGCTGGCACACGCGCTCTCTCTCTCTCTCTCTCTCTCTCTCTCTCTCTCTCTCTCTCTCTCTCTCTCTCTCTCTCTCATGAAAGCGGAGTGTGCATCCATCACCATTTGCGAAGATGACCTTTGATTATTATTTTGTGATTAGAAAAAAAGGCTCGTGCGTTGAAACGGGTGAAGGCTATTTTAATCGTATTATTGTTATTTTTTTTATCTAAAAAGTATATGAGATTTCTATTTTGATAGTATTGATATCTAATTTAGAACCTTTGTTGGGATTATGGTCATATACTGTACGTTGCTTTCTTAGGGCCTGACAAGAATTCTAAAGCAATTAGCGGTACTCGTTCCAAGTTAGCTGTGAGTGTTTTAAAAGGATTTCTTATACGACTCCTGGTGCATTTTCAAAAGTGAACGAATTTAATAACCAACTCAAATACGGACAACGTACAAAGTATTGGCGGAAACATTTTCAATTTTTATAATAATAGAGAAGAGATGAACAATTGATTTTGAAGATAATTGGTTTTGAAGATTTTCTGATGATGAATTGACCTGACGATGAACAATGAGTTTTGTTAGTTTGGGTCTGGTCAGACCGACGTGTGTTGTGCAGTCAAATCGGCCAGCCCGATGGTCTGATCGGACGGCTCTGTGTCGGTTCTGGTTTCGGATTGTTTTTTTATACTTGTGATTAATTTATGTTTATGAATTCTAGATGAATATTATGCATATGTAATGCTGTTGTGAACTAATGTTAAGTCAAGTTGGAGAGGACTTGTGCTCAGATATTGTATCTTGTTTGATTCATATGTAGGTGTCTCTTAATGCCTGGGGAGAGTGTTACTAGTGATTGATCGGGAGTCAACTTGGAAGAAGATGATGTCCAGACGATCAGGATATCATGGTTGGTGAAGATTCCATATGGTATACCATGAAGATATTGTGTGCGTATGGATGCGGAGTCCAAATTTGGTATGATTGTAGTTTATAAAGTTTGTTTATTGTATGGGAAGGTTTCCTAGGAGATTAGGACTTCTTGTACAAGTTGGGTTTGTGGTTTTAGACTGCTTACTTCGAGTATAAATAGAGAGGGGGTTGAGACTTCCCGGCATCGATTTTGTGCAAGTTGAGTTTAGAAAAAAGTTAGTATTTTGAGTTTAGTCGAGATTTGTGAGAGGAGTGTTGTTGTTGCACTTTGTAAACATGAGTAGAAGTAAGTTCAATCTACTTTTGAAATATCTTCAATTTGTATATGCTTGGGTTCGGCGGTCACACCGACAGCATATGTAATGCTGTTGTGAACTAATGTTAAGTCAAGTTGGAGAGGACTTGTGCTCAGATATTGTATCTTGTTTGATTCATATGTAGGTGTCTCTTAATGCCTGGGGAGAGTGTTACTAGTGATTGATCGGGAGTCAACTTGGAAGAAGATGATGTCCAGACGATCAGGATATCATGGTTGGTGAAGATTCCATATGGTATACCATGAAGATATTGTGTGCGTATGGATGCGGAGTCCAAATTTGGTATGATTGTAGTTTATAAAGTTTGTTTATTGTATGGGAAGGTTTCCTAGGAGATTAGGACTTCTTGTACAAGTTGGGTTTGTGGTTTTAGACTGCTTACTTCGAGTATAAATAGAGAGGGGGTTGAGACTTCCCGGCATCGATTTTGTGCAAGTTGAGTTTAGAAAAAAGTTAGTATTTTGAGTTTAGTCGAGATTTGTGAGAGGAGTGTTGTTGTTGCACTTTGTAAACATGAGTAGAAGTAAGTTCAATCTACTTTTGAAATATCTTCAATTTGTATATGCTTGGGTTCGGCGGTCACACCGACAGCATTGCGGCAGTCAGACCGGTGGCTTTAAGGCGGTTAGAATGGCGGCAACGACAAGCGACATCAGCGCGATGTGCGGGTAGACCGAAGCTACTTCGCCAATCAGACCGGAGGTCTCCGTGCGGTCAAACCGGTGCATCTACTTTGGTCAGACCGACCTTCATCGTTTCGAGAGTAACTTTTAATTCCGCTAAAAGTTTTGATTTGTGAGTACCTCAACCATTCACTCCCCTTTGGTGGCTTAGTTCTTGCTGGCGATCTTACAAACCTGTGATCTCCTGAGTGTAACCAAGGATCCTTGATCCCGGTGCCCTGGAGTGAAATTTCCCTAGCGAATACACAATCGCACGAAAGTAGAACGAAGAGCACACAGATGAATTTGGCGCAAGAACTTGCATTCTACTTTTCAGGTTTTCTCTCCTTTTATGAGTACTAAAAAGAAGTGGCTTTGAGGCCGACGATTGCGCACCCACGAACGAGGAATTCCACAGCGGGTCCGACGGAAGGGCATTCCACCACGGTGCCATCAGGGGCAGTCCCAAATGGGACTCCGGTAGAAGGGGGAACCACCACGACGCTGGTGGGGCAGGCTACGGTAGAGTGCGGTGGTGGTGGGGAAGTAAGTCGCTGTCGGGAACCACCACGACGTCGGCGGGGGCATGTTGTGCTGGATTGCATCGGCGGTGGGGAAGGACCTCGCCGTCAGGAACCACCACGGCGCCTGCGGTGAAGTGCGTCGGTGGTGGGGAAGGACCTTGCCGTCAGGAATGACCACGACGTCGGCGAGGGCAGGATGCGGTGTAGCGCAGCGGTGGCGGGGACAAGCGAGGAGTCGGACGGAGCAAGGACGTGCAACGGCAAGTAGCGCGGCGGCAGAATCATAGCGTGGGGAAAGTGCAGTGGTGGAGTCATAGCTCCGTCGACGGCTGGGGATGACCTCGGCTTCGGCAGCGGCGGAAGGGACGACCACGGCTCCGGCGGTGGCGGAAAGGGTCAGCCACAGCTCCAGTGGCAGCTGGGGAAGACCTCAGCTCCGGTGGGGGCAGCGGTGGAGTGTGGGTATGGCGGCGGCTAGAGAAGAACTCACTCCGACGGCAGCAATACACGCGAGGAGGAGGAGGTGAGAGGAGGAGCGAGTACTGCAAAGGTGCAGTCTTCGTGCGAACATCTTCGTGCGGTGTTCGCACGGAGGCGTAGTATTCGTGCGGTGGAGATGGAGAGGGTTAAATCGCGGTGGACGGTAGGGATCAGATCAGGGCAATACAGATGCAGATGGACGGCAGAGATTACACATGTTGGATTGGAAGGGTAAATTCTTCCTTTTTATATCTTAGTATAGAAAAGGGTAATAATTAACTATTTGTCACTTACCAGTAACAATTAAGGATTTGCCACTAAGCTACGAGTGGCAAATCCTTAATAGCCACATCTTAAAAGTGGCAAAAAGTTAAATGCCTCTAAAAAACAGGTAAAATATGTTCTAGAGATGTTGTTTGTTATAAATTGATAAATGATAAAGAATAAAATGGAACTAGGATAGTCACTCTCCCATAAGAACAGTAGAGGATTTCAATTGAGAGTATCCAACAAGGAAAAATGGCGTTATGCTCCGATGGAAATAAACAAAAACTTAGGAGGAAAAATCACCCCAATCACATGATTGCACACTTGAATGGAGATTTGCCAGTACTTCTGGCAAACATAAACGAACAAATTGTTCAATCATGGAGAACGAAAAACCAGAAAGTTACAAGTGAAAACTCCATATTCCCACAAGGACTTGTTTAAAAAAACTAGAAGGGGTTACAAAAGGCACAGCCGTATATATCTTGTTGCAAAGAAATAGTGAATTGTGTACAACAGTAAGAAGCCTGAAGATCGCATCAAGAACCGACATGGACCTGCCTGTAGGATGTTGCAAAAAGATGAGGGTGCAAAAGGAGAGGCGTATCTGTAAGGTATCTGGAAACTGAGGGAAAAAGTGCAAAGCTGGAAGGACCTGGATGTAAGAAATCAGAGCCCAGGGGCATATGTGCAACGAAAATGAAGAACGCAAGGACCTGGCCATAATTCGATATCTGGAAACTTTGAGGGAAAAAGTGCAAAGCTTGAAGGACCTGGATGTAAGAAATCAGAGCCCAGGGGCATATGTGCAACGAAAATAACGAACAAAATACCGAACGCGCAAGGACCTGGCCAGAATTCGCAAAAAAATTTGGACCATTTCTCGATTTGTGCGTGTCATCCTTGCGCAGGGGCCATGCTAATCTTCTCTGTATCGTTCCAATTTTATCGGATGTCTCCGAAGAGACAAGCTGACTACAGCGCGCGGGTTTATAAGCTGGTTCCATCGTCTTTCGGTTTCCGATGTGGTACTAAACATCCCCCGCAACGCCACCGCGCAAACCATCGGATCCCCATCCAACGGACTAAAGTGGGTAGCAGCGCCACCCGCGCGGTACGGCGCGCGTGGGCTGCACCTTCCGACGCAGCCCAAATCAGGATACGGCCCATTAGTATATATTCTCCTCCTCCCAGCCCACATCACATGCGTTTCACACTTTCGCCTGTAATCGCTCAAGTAGTCAAGTATGAGCTCTGTCTGCACGAACTGATTGTCACTAGTGTACCATCAAACTACTAGACGTGACTTGTGATAATCTCAGACGCTTATGGAGTGAAACATGGTAAAAAAATGCGTTTATGTGCTTGATCACTTTGATCAGCCTTGCCTCCATCGTCTGAAACATGATAAGAAGACCTTTGTTACGAAAGTGTGAAACGATTCTGTTATTCCTTCGGCTATGCCGTAATTCAACTTTCACAAAATGTTTTCCCAAAAACTCGCTGACAGTGTCGACAACATCTACTGCGAACAAACCACGAATAATCAAATCATGTACTCAACGAGTCAGTAAAGAAACCGTTTGAAGCAAGTGGCAAATTAACACTAGCTGAAGCACGATAAGGATTCACAGAGCTGTTATTCAAAAGAGTAAGAATGACATCAACATTCACATAATCCGTCACTCCCTAGAACATTACACTCGTGGAACAAAAGAGAAACTCAAGACGAGGCATTTACACGGACAAAATCCAACGGAGGAAAGAGGTGAAGCTACCCACCATCCCTCTTGAGGTTATTCACTTGGTTCACTTCCCTTGGAACTTCGACAAAAAGTTTTGAAACGAGGAAAAACCCTCCATTGCCTCTTGCGGAAGAGGGAGCGTGAAGGGAGGAAGAACTCTGTGTCCAGCCTTGAGATCCTTCGTGCCAGTGATAGATGGACGAGCAAGTGCAGGTTCCTGTTTATTGAGCATCTCTATGATGTATGAGAAAGTTCCGAAGGTCAGGCAGCTCTGAATCATTGTTTGTGGTGCACCTGGAACCAAAAGAAGAAAAAGGACCATCAGTTAATGAATAGGTACGAAACTATGATCTTTTTGTTAACATTTTCCTATATAGGAAGAACCGATAATCCGATATCACTGTTAATAGTAATGTTATCATCATGCGAATAAGGAGCTATTTTGTCACAGGACAAAAGTGTGTTCTCAATAATGATAAGAAACACTCATGATCTCACAAGAAATTGTCGATTTTGTAGTGCTTCATTTTACCAGTGCAAAAATGAAGACATAAATGGACAACTCTAAATGCAAAACTGTGTGCACACCAATACAGCAAAAGACAAGAAAAATGAAATATAGAACAAAAATAATAACAACTGTAGTGAAAATAAACAAATATTTCAGGTGCATCCAAACCAAATTAGTTTAGGACGCATTATCAACAAGATAGGAGATAAAGATACAAATGCCTATATGAACAAACTAAGGGAACATGAAAATGAAAAAATTGTAGAGATTGAATCATCAAACTTGAAACGGATGCCAGAGATTAATAACTCCCAAAAGGGCTGCATGCATTCTTAATGAACAATGTCAGGACCGTTTGAGATCACCTATTCCATAACTCAGCATAATGAAAATTGCTCTTGTTGATATTAATACCAGTCCTAGCCAGGACATCCAGGAACAAGTTGTAAATTTAAACAGTTCACACTCACAGCTACATTGTGTGTTGTAACGTTACCTGGAAAACTCAGGGCAAGGCCAGTGCAACAGCCTGCAATTCCAGCATTGAGAACTGCAGATATAAAAGGATTCACAAGTTAATGATTGTACTTGACATTTGATTGTAGTACATCCTAAGGATTGGGACATGGTTTCCTAGAGAAAGAAATGAGCACAATAGATATCAAGACTGACCATCATCTTTCCCACGTAGTTGTCTCAAAGTGCAGGCAACCAAACTTTGAACACCAGCAAGAACAGCAAATATCTAGAGCAAAAGACAAAATAATGGCATGAGCTGTGAACAATGAAACATCTGCTGCAAAATGAACATGTGTAATGTGAATCATTACCTTAGCAGAAGATGCAGCATCAGCAAACGAGCCTTTAAACCCTTTAGTGGTGACCAAACCTTTTCCTGTCAAGTTATCAGAAAAGGCGAGTTGGAAAAAAATATTTTGTGCTTTGGCCCAAAGGACAACAGGCAACAGGATGGCTAACAGAGTACATGAAACAAGGAGGAACGTTGACCTTACAATGAAAGTCTATGATCCACTTCCATATAAGTTCCATTGAAAGCATTAACCCAAGAGGTAAATGGTAATGAATGTGATTGTAGGTCAAGGCATTAAGAGTTTACTTAAAGTTTATCTAAGCCTTCTGGCTATCCACAACATTCTTATATGGAGCATGCAAGGAAGCCATGTCAATTTATACTAGTTAAAACAGTATTCAAGTAATCTTTACCTATTATAAAAGTTAAAGGTGTTTTTGCCAGAATTTTGGTACGTCATCCGTGTTTGAAACGGTTTTAATTTTATATTTCGGTTTTAATCTATATCTCTACAAGAAATTCCCGTCTTCTGTATAAAAGAAAGAAAGAAAAAGTCCGACTCAAAAAAGGTAAATAAAGAAAGAAAAGAAAGTCCGACATAACGAGCGATTAAAAAAAACTTCTTCGTCGTCAGTAAAAAAACATCTCTTGTCCGACTCCTGTAGAAAAAGGAAAAAAAAATCTCCCAGTAAAAAAAAGTCCGTTTGGTTTTTTTGGCACCGGTATTTTTTTTCCCTTTTTTCTTTGCACGCAAAAGACTTTTTTACGCGCACATGCTAAGTCTTTTGGTTTTTTGTCCCTTTTTTAATCCGATCTGTTCACCGTGCGCCTCTTGGGTGCTTTTAGCTTTTTTTCGTCAATCTTTTTTGTCGCCAGTTTTTTCTCCCATGTGCTTTTTGTTTTTCTCATCCGGTTTTATAATCCCATCTGTTCGCCGCACGCCTTCTGTGGTGAACCTTAGCGCCGCGCCGCCGCCATATCGATCGTGTGTTTTCTCCTCCAATTTGATTGAAAAAATCGATTCCCCACTCCTCTCTCATCATTTTATCCATGATTTTCCCTACGATTGGGCTTTAATTGCCAGATTTAATCTATGTTCTACACTTGCCGATGATGACGGCAATCTTCCCCAGTCAGTTTTATCCCGAGTTTTACGCTCTAATTTTGGGGAAAACGGAAAGAGTAGATCGAGTGGATCAAAAACCCTCGACCAATTTTGGTTGACCAATAAAGATTCGGCCGGATTTGATGGGTAGATTTGCTCCGGCAAACGTACGGGCACGGGATTATCTTCGGGGGCACAGGATTATCTTCGAGAGGTTGAAGATGGTAGTCATATTCGGGAAATTTAAGATGGTAGGGTCGAAGAGAAGCAGACCAAATGGAGGGAGGTAGCGGACTAGCCGCTGAAAAGGAAGGAAGGCTTTCGGCCAAAAACCCAAGAAATATTTTCATTAACTTTTTTTTAATTATAATCTATAGCAATCCCAATGTTAAGATTTTTATTAACATTTTCAATTATAGTGTATAGTGATCCCAATATTTCAATTTATTACTTAGCTCTTAATGTATCACTGAAAAAAGTATTTACCCGTTGCAACGTACGGGCATCTTTTCTAGTTAAGATAAAATAATCAAATTTTCCAGCAAATTAAGGCTGGAAGGACATTTTAAACATTGTTTTTCTTACACAAGTCAATGTGGCCCAAGATTGTCTAAACAAGAGAGCACAAAAGTGGTTTTGTTTGGTTAGATGTATTCAGTTATGTTGGCTGAGTTGAACAGATGATCGATTTGACATGATGGGTAGCAAGCTGGTTTTAGTAGAGTGCATATAACAGGACCTTCTGATGCACCTTAATCCACTTTGATATTCTTAATCCATGGTAAGAAACTTAACAAGGAAACATACATGCTGGGAGCATCACCAACTAAATATATGCATCTAGGAGGAAAGTAGAAACAGATTGGATAGAGTGTGTGCAACCGCAACTTATTTTGGACAATTAAACAGTCAAACACCAGCATGCACATGGCCCAAGCAATTGAACCTTTTGGTTGCATCAAGCCATGATAATAAGTTAGCACTGGCAGTTAAGTAGGAAATAAATGTGTCATCAACTCATCATTTCATCGTGTAGATCACCCTTTACTTCATATTCAGTTTTAGTCAACAAAGCTCCAGCTTTCCCCTACCCCAAAAAAGAATAGCAGTACTGTTGAAATGTCCTCCAACTATGAAAAATGGAACCTTATCATTTCTCCAAGGATGGTTTTAAAGGTGCTTCCAGTAAAACAACACAGCATAGAGCATGGACCAACCTGACTTGATTTACAAGAAAAAAAAATATGTCGACCTTTTTCAAAATGAGATGCTGTGGATGTCATGTGTTGAAAAAGGCTTGTCATATGGCAATATAACTCAAGAGAACAATTTTTTGGTGTAATCTGCAAAGGTTTTAACATATAAGGGATGAAGATTAAACTTGAAGTTCAGGGTGGAAACTGTACTGTAGCAGGAGTTGAAGGAACAAAACTGATATGTTCAGTTAGATGAGTTTTATGGTTGTGGACATAATTAAGTAATATGTACATCAGCAAAATATGTACAATAAGAGAATGCACAAGGAGAACCACCTTCATTTCAAACAAAACAACAACAAAAATATCTTCCGGGGTGTTATTTGTCTGGTTTTGTAAGTATGGGGTAAAAGCAACCGGTGAGAAATAGACATCGAGCAAAATCAAGGGCCAAAAAGATGGGCTCTATAAAAAAGAACACATATGCATGCATTCCACCCTGTACACCACTTAGTATCAATCAAATTTAATAAAAACACAATTTCAGCGCTGGTACATTCCTATATACAGACCCTAAGCTAAACTAAACGTCTCCCACTCGAACCAAATGTTCCTGGAAGCCTCTCAAAACCCATATACCGCGAAACTAATCCAACTAAAGGAATTTCTTTCAAGGATGGTCTGATTGGCACAATTACATAGTACATACAGTATATCTCTACTAGACTACGAGCACAACCATGCAATATTGCAGATAACACCACTATTATACCACCAGATACCAAATTGTTCCGGCCGCACGCCCGCAAAGCGCAATAGTGCAATGCACAGCCAACTTACAGCAATCACACCGAATTGGAGTATTGAATTGAAGGAATCTAATACTACTAACCACTCCCGTCTCACAGGTCGCAAGAACCCTAACCTAACCGGAACGGGAACAGGGAAGGGTACAAGGGTGTCGTTACCATATCCGACGACGGCGCCGACGAGGGACCCAGCGGCGGACTCCCACGCGAACCGCAGGAGGCAGACCCCGGGCGCCGCGGTGGCCGCCGCGAGCGGGCTCGGGTTCCGCGACACCGCGAGGCGGCTCAGGATGGGGTTCGCGCCCGGCACCGCCCTCCTCCCCGCCCCCGCCCCCGCCCTCTCGTCCGACGACTCAGCGTCGGTGGTGTCCCCGCCGTCCGACGAGAACCCGTCCTCCTCCCCTTCCTCCTTCCTCCTCCTCGCGTCGCCGCCGCCGCTCGCCATCGCCGCTTCTCCTCTCTCTCTCTCTCTCTCTCTCTCTCTCTCTCTCTCTCGCGTGTACGCGCGCGCGTGTGGCCGTAGCACACGCGCGGCGGCGTCACGGGAGGGTGTACGTGTCACGTGTCGGTGTGCTGCAGTGGCAGGGAGTGGTAAATAGCCTCCTCGGTTGATCTAATAAGTCAAATAATAACCAAAATTTAAACTTTTTGAACTTGATTTTAAAGTTATTTAAATATATTTTTAACGTATATTTTTTATTATTAGCTTTTGAGCCACTACAAACATATATATAAAAAATTTACCAATAGATTCTTTTAGGCCCTGTTTGGTTCAGCATAGGATTATTATAATCTAGATTATTAGGAGTATCGACGGGTGATACCCGTAGACCGGATATAGAGGGTATTGGGGTACGTTGGTACAAGGATCTACGTAGTACGACATCAAGCAACCAAAAGACAAGAATTATACTGGTTCAAGCCCCTTGATAGGTAATAGCCCTAATCCAGTTGGTATGGGATTATATGGTGGAAAATACAGGTTACAAAGGGAACGATGGAACTTGTCAGATCTGGCGAGATTGTAGTCGAGTTGGTTCGACTTACTCTCGATGACTTGGCTCCTCGTAGACTTCGGCTTCGTAGGCTGTGTGGGTTGTATTGGCTCTGAGATTCGATGTCCTATGCCCTCCCCGGGGGTCCCTTTTATATCGCAGACCTGGAGGTTTCCAAGTAGAACTCGGAGGTATCAGACCCTATACGATACATCAACGACCCAGTTCTGTCCGAGTAGGATTCTTCCCATCTGTAGATTTCGTGAAAGGTTTCCTTAGAATATGCAGGAAATATCCGCGTGCGCGTGGGTATGCCATATCGATATGTAACGTATATCGAAGGGTAAAGGGTATGCCGAACCCGTAACCCTGACAAGGAGTAACTGAAACAAACAAGTAGATTATTATGCTAGATTATTATAATCTATAGCCAGATTAGTATAATCCAATAATCTCCTCTATAGCCAGATTAGTATAATTCGCACCGTCGGTAGTGTGTCTATTTAAAGGAATTTTGGGAGCCCATTTTGAAGTCCGCCAACCCTGTTGAACACACACCGCCTACCAGCGCTCTTTGCCTTCTCCACCGCCGCAAGAAACCCTAGTTCACTAACTTTGGCCCATTTTCCGGCGATCTCCAAACAGCAATGGATCTCGGCAAATCGGCTTCCACCAGCGCGACGTTGAAGAACCTTCAGGAGGACGGCGCCCTTCCCGGCCGTGGAAGCATGGAGAGAGAAGCAGGAGGTACTAATCCTCAGCCCATCTTGGGTCACATGGTTGCGATCGAAGATTACGTTCTCTGCGGTTTTCTCCCTCCGCCTTCCGAGTTTCTTCTCCTGGTCTTGAAGTTCTATGGTCTTTCTCTTCTTCATTTGAATCCTAATTCCATCGCCTTTCTTAGTATCTTTGTTCATCTCTGTGAGGCCTACATTGGGGTAGAGCCTTATTCTTGATCTCTTCCGCTTCTATTATGAGCTGCGTTGGATGGAACCCAATAGAGTGTCTGGTTGCGTCGGGTTCCGACTTCGTGATGGCATGAAGTCGCGTTATGTCCCCTTCCAGTGTCCTTTTTCCCGCAGCAAGTGGCGGAACAGGTGGTTCTATCTTGAGATCAAGGACTCGAACCCTGTCTTCGTTGTTCCCGAGGATCAACCGGACAAGATTCCAGCCTGGACTGCCAAGCCTCCCTTGACCCCCTCTCTTCAGTCGTTTATCGACATCATCGATGATCTCCAAGAACGGGGCTTGTCGGGATATGAAGTCGTTGCAGACTTCGTCGGTAGGCGGATCCAGCCGCTCCAGGCTCGGGCCCATCCAGCCTATAACTATTCCGGGCCGGAAGACGCGACCCAGGTTTCTCCTCGGGGTATCTTTCTCGCATTCATCTTGACGTGCTTGCGTTCGCATTCCGCTTGACTTATCGAAGGTTGGTTCTCGATTAACAGGTCTGAGCAGCGAAGTCGTGGAGCGGCGCGTCGGCCAAGTGATGATCAGCGGCCCGACCACGGCGAGTGACATCCCCGTGCCCCTTTGTGAAAAGGGGGCGACGGAACGCGATGAAGCCATCAACGTAAGTGTATTCGATAAGCATCTTGCATTCCTCCTTTCGAAATCACCTTATGACTTGATTAAGCATAGGCCCTTCCTTTGACTGACATCATCGGGCCGCTCGCGAACCATCAGGTGGCGACATCTCTGAAGGAGAAGGTTGTCAAGGAGGCGTCTGACGCGGCCACCACTAGCGGTGGCAATGTCCCGACCAAGCCGAGGAAATTCTCGTCTATACTCGGACATCGTCGCAAGGCAGCGACCCCCTCGGTAATTTAATCTTGTCATTAGATCATGCGGCAAGGAGGGTTTTTCCTTACTCTGTATTGATTGTCTTTCAGGCCTCGGACGCGTCTCCTCCACCTCCACGACGACAACGCATTGTGATGATCGGCGAGAAGTAAGTAGATAGATTCCTGAATTTCCGTGCTTCTCATTCGAGCGGTGTTTGACCCGTGGTTGTTCGTAGGGAAGCGCGGGCGAAGGCTGCACGAGCTAAGTCTGGAGGAGCTTCCAGCACATCACCTGCCGCGGCCTCGACAGATGTCGTGCCCGCAGCCGGGAGCCGGGAAGCGACGCCTAGCGGCCCCGTCAGCGATCCTGCGGGAGGTCGTGGTCTGCCAGCTGCCGTCCTCACCTGGGAGGAGCTCCAAGTCGAGATGGGGCGCCTCCTCGAAGCTGGTGCTCGCGGCATCGACCGCGAGATTGCGGAGGCGAGGTCGGAGGCGGCGACGGTGAACGCGCGTGCTGATCGACTGGTGCGCAAGTTGGCTGAAGCCCATGAAGACCTCACGAAAATGAGGGAGCTGGTGGCCGGCAACGAGCGACAACGGAAGGGGCTCGAGGACCGCATGTCGGAACTCGGGAACAACCTGTCCAAGATCCGGGGCTCGTTGCGGGTCACCTACACTGGACTCCACTAGCTCGCCGGGGAGTGCGGCATCGAGTCCACAATCCCAGTGAATCCCGATGAGTTCTCTCTGACCTCCTCCCTTGCGGAACTGGCGACGGCGATGGGGGAGATCCCCTCCAAGCATGCAGCCAGGATCGCGGAGGAGACGTCGAACGGGATCTACACCGGGGCGTGTCATGTCCTCGCGTGTGTAAGGCTGTCGCATCCTGAACTCGATCTGCGCGAGATCTTGGATCAGGGGGCGGCAAGCAACACGCGTAAGGAGGTGATGGAAGAAGTCGGTGATCTGGGGGAGTCTGTTCTCCCCCTTTTTGAAGAGTAGGACTTCTTGTATTTGTTAGATAATGTGTAAAAATTGAACTCTGACCGCCTTCGTGCGTGCAATTACCATCCTTGTTTAGTTTTGTATGTTGATCTCGGAAGCTTTTGTCCATTGTAGAGATGCTGATGACGAGGATGTCCAGCAGCGCGGGCAGCCCGAGTCACTGGCGATAATTCCGGTACTCGAGCTTGAACCACACATCTCGCCTGACAATGTGGATCAAACCCTTGGTGCGGAGGCCGGGATAGCGACGACTACCTCAAGTGAGTAGCCCCTTCACCTCTTAGTGACCTCCTGATTAGGTCATCCATGTTCCAAAAGAGGTATCCAGCTTGTCTTAGTGGTTGTCACGTTTAGCAGATCTCGAGGATGCCCTTGAAAGCCAAGATCGTCGTATCCAATACTGGAAGACGAAGTTTGAAGTGGCGGAACTCGAGAGAACCATGCTGGCCGTGAAGAAAGAGCAGGCTGTGGAAACGCTCCGAGGTCGCGAGGTGTGGTTTAACTCGTACTTGAAGAGTTGCTGCACCTCCATGGCCAGAGTATGCAGGGAACTTCGAGTAGTCCGCGGTGATCCCGAGGAGTCGGCGGCCGGGTACATCTCGTGGCTGAACGGGGCTTGTGCCCAACTCGATGGCATCGGCAAGCGTATCGACGAGGCCTTGAAACATGAGTGTCGTCGAGCGAGCTGATACGCCGGAGGACACGTGCTGGCTTGCCTACGAGATCACCGCCCGCGCCTGGACCTCGAATTTCTCCGCGAAGGTTTTGCTCGTTCTCAGAGAACTCTGGCGGAGATAGACCATCTGGTGAGGTCGATGTCGCCATTGGCCGAGAAGATCTTCCAGTTTATGAACTGGCGTTGGCCTTCTTGGTAGTACTCGTACCCTGCGACAAATATCTTAGGGAAAGATGTAATGCAGCGAGAGATTTATGTAAAAACTGTAAGAAGTACTTTGTGAATAAAGAAATCTATCTTTAACAAATGTTTCTTACTCTAGATGTCGTGTGTAACAGTGTGTTCTCAGTTAACGACTTTAGTCAGCCGTTTGAGTCGTACACTCTCCCTAGCCCCCAGCCTTGTCGTCGGGGGAATTTTCTCGGAGGATAAGGCTCTTGGACCCTTGACCTGCCTTGGTTGAATAAGCTCTGATCCTAGCCCCCAGTCGTAAAGTTGGAAAATTGATTTCCGATTTCACGGCTTGGTTAATACGCACGGCGAGAACTCTTACACGACCAGATCTTACATGGTCTTTCGTCTCTACAGGATCTGACAAGGCCTTATCGGCTCTGGGCGTCCCCAGCCGAAGATCCCTTAGGTTCCTCGCAGGCCTTGTCGAGACGGCATAAAGGGACATAAGGGCAGGTTTCAACGCTAGGTGTCATCAGAGTAAGGGATCATCAGGCGAAAACACATTGATTGTGATATGGGCCTAGATATAGGCTTTATTGATACTATAAGGGTACTTACAGGTACGGTGGTATTGACTCATACATAGAATTTACATAGTTGGTCAATGTTCCAAGAATTTGCTAATTCGCGACCGTCGCCGTCTGCGATTTGGAATGCGCCTGGCCGCAAGACTTGTGTGATCATGTAAGGTCCTTCCCATTTTGGTGAGAGTTTGTTTCGCCCTGCTTGGGTTTGAACTCGTCTGAGGACATAGTCGTCGATCGAAAGTATGCGTGCTCGGATACGCTTCTCGTGATAACGGCGGAGGGCCTGTTGATAGCTGGCTGC